TTAAGGGCAGAGTTAATGGCATGTGGATACACAGAGCGGACGGGTAGGGGGGGAAAAGGGGAGAGTGGTGGGAAGTGAGGAAAGGTTAATAGCTTACAACTGGCGGAGGGGAGGAACGTGCGTGGCAGTTATGGAAAAAAAAAAAAAAAAAGAGCTGGAGATCACACACGTTTGTGAAGCTGACCTCTCATCCCGACGAGGCCCGAAACACAGACGGGAGAGAGAAAGAGAGGGTTATGAAGAGAGGCAGCAGAGGGAAACACAAGAGAGCAGGGGGGGGGGGGGAGTGACAGAATGGAGGAAGCAGTTAAATACCATTTTACTGTGATCCCCGTGGAGGCCGCATTCAAATGTGTCTCTGTGCTGAGTGGGTGCAGGATCACATGGAGAAAATAATAGACGGGATGACTGAGGGAATAAGGCTACGAGGAGAGAAAGGAAGAGGGAGCAAAGAGGAGAAACTGTGGAGTCTATTAAAGATGGAATTCAAAGGAAACACAGCCTACCTTTCTCTTCTTTACTTTCAATCTCCCCTCTCTCTTAACAGCCCGCGTTTCATCTCTGGATAATGTCGAACAAATCAGCAAAGCGAGCATCTGAATTCAAAGCATCGTTCTCCCCGGATGTGAGAATGGCAGTATTTTATCTCTGACAATATATGAACTACAATACATCGACACCATTTTCAACTTAATATAGAAATGTATTTGTCAACAACCCTGAAACATTTGCGTTAGTATGTGTGTGACTTTAAGTTACAGTTTACCCCAAAATCAAAAATACATAGTTTTCCTCTTACCTGTAGCGCCATTTATAAATCTATAAGGTTTCGGTTTGAGTTGCCTAGTTTTGCAGATTTTGGTCGTAGAGATGTTGTCCTTTCCTCCGATATAATGGGACTATATGTCACATGACTTGCGATGCTCAAAGTGCCAAAACAAAAATGCATTTGATAAACTCGACAGCAATGTCTTTCTGCAGAAATCCTGACCCGGTTACTCCAGATAACCCTGGAACTGTGGTTGAAAGAGAAGGAGAGTAAGATGAAAGTTTATAACTTAAGTCTGTTTGGAGAAGATATGCATGTTACACTGTTTTGAAAACATGGGGTCGATGGCTCTTTTTGAATCCATAAAACCAACTGTATGTTGTCCAAACTATGTCTTATTACGAAGTCGTATAAAATGTTATCTTGCGTAAGAGCATGTTGTGTTCAAAACATCCGGGATCATTTTCTCGTCAGTCTACAATAACATGCTGGGAATGTCACGCTTTCTGATGCACCTTAACGCACCTCGACTCTAAACACACGGCACTATAAACAGGGAAACAAAGCAGTCAAACTTTACATTTTATCGTCACAATAACATATATTTTACTAAGGCATGTTTTATTTTCACCCAATTTGGCAGATTTTACTTACAAGTTGTACCAGAGTAAAGTTGGGGCTGCTGGGAAGTCACTGCGAGCCCGAGGGAGGAGACAGCAGCCATCTCACTCAAGTTAGGCTGACTTGTATAACTCTCTTATGCTTGTTGAGGCAACATTGATCAATATCGATTGTATATATATTACTATTTCAGTGTTTTTGAGGAGATGTATGTTGTTTCTAACATGGCTATATGGAATCTTTAGTGTATTTCCATCACATTTACAGTCCCAGTTGTAGTGGAAGATATTTAGTTGCATCATCATCCATGGGATCTTGGTGATAATGGTGATATTGCTTTTGAAATTTATTTCATATACTAGGCCAGGATAACATTCTTATTATAATCTACTCTTAAATGTTAATATGAATAGGTTTGCTTACAATGGGTTCTTCTTGCTCAGCTTCTTACCTTTCAAAGGAGATCAGAAATATGCATATAACCCTTATGGTTGATTCATAACGGGTGTGTTATTTGAGGTGTTTATTTCCAAGGGGCTAGGGCTTCAACCCTTCAAGGTTAGCCGTGTCAATGGTGACACAGTGGTGTTTAGCAAGTGTGCAGTAACATAGGGAACATGTGAAGTAAAGAGGCCGTGCAGAAGTCAGAATTCATAATTATGGATAGCCCAGTGTGAGTTCTGTGACCTTGAGCAAATATTTACGTGTTGGCTCGGCCCGGACCGTGCACTCCACTTCTCCCCGCGGCCCCAAAGGAGGCCGTGAGTCAGGGGGCGAAGGGCACGCCGAGAGAGGAGGGCAGGCGAGGAGGAGAAGAGGAGGAAAAGTAACATGACAGAAGGAGAGAGAAAAAGGAGGTGTAAGGTGACACAGCTCTCCCTCAGGCAGCCCGAGTGGAACACACACTTCATCAGATCAGATCAGTTAAGCTTCGCTGTTTGCTCAACACGTCTGATTTGAACGTACGCTTGTAAATACTTCCCAGTTACCGGTGGATGAACTTTGTGGAATGTTAGTTGTCGTTTTTTTTAAACAAATCCGTAGCTTGACATTATCAAAGTATGAATATTTGCTTTAATTAGTGTGGAGCGCTCCCATGTTAGTTAACACTAGTGCTGTGGGTAATTAGGTTGTTGGGTGAGCTTCTGAGCGTCAGTTTTCTTGGACTTTATTCCAGCAGCAAAAGCAGCAAAGTTGGAAATCTAAATATGGCAACAAAGCAACAGGATTTTATTTTATTGGTTTATTTGAACAGGACAGTGCACATTAATAAAAACATTTCTGCAAATGCGCCAGAATTAGCCAAAAGGCTATTTTTCATCTGTAGTCCCAAACTATGTTTGGGACTTCATTTTGATGATGAAGCATTATGTTTTCGGGTCGTCCATCCACCCATCCATCCATCCATCCATCCATCCATCCATCCATCCATCCATCCATCCATCCGTCCGTCCAAATGTCATCGACACCATTTTCGTGAAAACGACATCTCTGTGGCCTGGGGGGCAATTTCATTACATCTGTCACAAACATCCTGAACTGATTAGAATTTAGTGATAACACATTTTTGACCATAACGCGAAGAATTGATTTGCCAATTATGAATGGCCACATTCACAGGATGATACAGACACAGACGCACTATAGAGCTGAACAAAAAGCAAACAAGATATTTAAAAAAATAATCAAATTTCAGCTGCGTTGAATTGATTTGAACCTGCTTGTGTCTAAAGCAATGCAGTGCTGTTATGCCGTGATGCTCGTTGTCAGTCAGTCCTGTGTCAGTCACGAAATGAGAAAAACTTATTTTGAATGCCATGTTTGTTTTTTTTAAAGCTGAATTACTCAAATTATGTTTGTTATGGTGAACACTTGGATAAACAGTCGGCTATTTGCACATCCGACAGACACGGAGCAGACATTATCCTTCATTTGAAGTCGTGTTTCTGGTCACCTGGCAAATGTAAATCCATGGTTTACTCTCTTTTAGTTGTGTTTTTGGTCTCCACTCCTGAGCAGAATATCCGTCTCTTTGACTGCTAAATGCTCTCCTCTGTTCTCCGGTCCCTCTTTCTGCTGTTTGGTGCCGGGCCGGCAGCATTCAGTGGGTTTACGAGAGCTTTCTTGTTGAAACCAGCTGCTTGCTGTGAGGCTGGAAACAATGATGAAAGCTGTGAGAGTGAACCAAACAGTAACACTGTGGAAGCAGAATAATGAGGGGGAAGACACTGGAATACTCCATAAAACTGAGTTATTTCATTCGTTGTAAACATAAAATATTAGAGCAGCATTAAGCTTTGCAATGCTGTAGCATTCTTATAAAAACATCAATTAAATGGTGTCCTTGAACACTTCAGTGTGGAAACTGTTTTTGGCCAACAGCTGGCGTGGGTGGTGGAGGCCACAGACAGAGGGACGAGGCTCGGCCGCAGAGCGGAGGAGGAGGAGGTGCCCAGCAAGGGCAGGTCAGGAGAAGAGAGCAGGGGTCAGGGGTGAATAGGTGGTAGGTGGCACCTGATGGGGAGAAAGGGGGAGGTGACAGAGGTGAGGAAGTAGGAGGGAGATGGGAGCAGAAGAGCAGGAGGAGGGAATCTTCTCTTCAGCGTGCTGACAGATGCAGCCACACAGGTTAATATTTAAATGCATCCTGTGAGGCAAGCACACACGGGATGAGATAATTAAACGATAGTGACACACAGTATTAATAAAGCATAACGTCTATACTGTCCAAGGATTCCACAGACATTTTGCAGCAGTACAACACCGTTTGTTCCATATTTTTTCAAATGATATATTACCAAATATAATATCGATAGATTGCCTATTTTAACCTGTCGTTAAAACAATAATCCCCCTTTTTCAGAAAAACTCCCTCCCAATCGCAAAATACAAAAAAAAAGTTAAACAGTGCTTGAAACTCCCTTTCATGATCGCACATTTCTCTTTGTCCTCTGCACGCGTGCGCACACACACACACACACACACACACACACACACACACACACACACAC